TTTTTGTAGAGTTTTTATTTTTTTTCCATTTACAACTCATATGAAATGCGTTTTTTGTAAAAAAAAAACACCATTTGTTGACAGAATAACCTTATTTCAGCAGCAATTAAGACAAAATTCTGTTTAGGATTAAAAAAAACTTTATTTTATATATATTTGTATAAACAGTTGTGCTTGAGAGTTAATATATTTTCCCATTAAAGAAAATGATAAATTCACACTAATAATTCAAATAATACAAATCTGAAAGACCTGATGATAAATAAAAGTTTACTAAATGATCATTTAGTAAAATAAAATATTGATTTTGAACTTTTGTTTAAAATAATTGATTGCAAAAAAAACTGTCCCACACAAATGAATGTACATTGCTCATTAAGAGTGAACTAACATACCTGTCAACAGCTTCAGAAGTCTGACTGAACATTTCTTGAATAGAAAACATCTGATTTCAGTGATTTCCATTTTATATAATATTGATTTACCAGTATCCAGCCCCGACCGATACTGGTAAATCAAATAATATTCAGGTGGAATTTATGGAGTCTAATGTCCTCCATTGTTTCGCAACATTCTTGCAGATGCTATTTGGGGCTGAATTGATTAATTAATCGGATTAACTGTGAATAAACCGTTATTTAAATAATTGTAAATTAATTTGGCAAAAAAAAAACTGTCCCAGTTTTAAGGTGACTTGCTCATAAACAATAAACCAACATACCTGTCCACAGGTGCAGAAGTCTGAACATTTCCTGAATGAAAAACACCTGATTTCAGTGATTTCCATTTTATATTATACTGATTTATTATGACTTTTGTCAATTTAAATTTATTTCACCGATATGTACATACAATGTAGATTTTTTTTAATGTTTTTTTCTATTTAGAATTCATAAAAAAGTGCATAATATTTTATTTCAAACATTTATTTATGTAGAAATATAAATGTTCTGAAAGTATTTAGCAAGGAATTGAAAAAATAATTGATAGATTAATCAGTAAAAGAATGGGCAGCTGGAGCCGTACCTGTTTGATTTTTGTCTGCTCTAAGTACATGGAGACATAATATCAATTTTTACCAAATCAGAATAATTAGCATGTAGTTTTGCATCAGGCTGTTGTCCTCTCTTTAGCCACAAACACTATAAACAGAAATAATTATTTTAAACATGGTAATCAGTTGTTGGCTTCAAAATAATAATCAATAATATGCATTTAGCTGGAAAAATCTTTGAAAATGACCTTCTGGGACGTCCAGGATTTTTGCAGTCAGCAGTTTGCTTTTTTTTCTCCCTCTTTTATTTCTTTGCTATGATTTTTATTACTTCTATATAATGCAAACATTTTAGTTATTTATGAGCTGAAATGTTCGATAGAACTATGTTGATATAAGGGAGTAAGTTCAGGTTATTTTTCACATATAGAACCTAAACTTAACATTGTGACGTTCCCTCTTCATGTTTTAACCCATGATAGTTTCTCAGATGTGAAACATTTGACTTATGGTATTATGCTGTGCTATCATGGTTTGCTTGTTTTTTGAATGCCGCCTTTAGATTTCTAAATTTGCACAATGTATAGTTGATTTAACCCAATATTAGTTTTTTGACAGTAACACGTTTTTGGCCCATTAAAAGGTTCCTTCCTAACAATGTAGTAAACCTCCTTTGCATTAAAACAGTATCAGCAGGAGCCAGATATGATTTTGTTAAAGAGGAGAGTGTGTGTCTCAGCTTTAATCCAGCATCTAATGGAAGTTTGAGGCAAAGCTCCAGTTCTCTGTTCAGGATAAATATCACAGATATTTAGAGATGCACAGATCAGGAAACTGCTGGCAGAAGTCTGAAACTTTCCATCCATCAGCAAGTCAAATATGGATTTATTATTCATTATATTTTTTCCCCTGTTCATTAAATGCATCAAGACTGAAAACTCCCACTAGTTTCAGTCTTTAAACGCATCAACAAGCAGCATGCTTTGAGTTTATTAATAATCAAGTGGATGTTGGGACATACGCTTTGATGCATCAGTGGAGATAATCTTTATTTGTTGAATTCAGAGTGAGTGCTTCTATCAGGGAAGCTGCAGAACATGTTTGTTTTGAACTATCATTGGCATGTTTGCTTTTAATCATTGACTTATAATGAAGTTAACACTGATTACATGAGCACCGAAACAGCCTGATAGGTGATCATGAAGAAAGAGATCTAAAATCAGAAAAGGTCTATAAATGCATAGTTGAACCTCATGCATTTAAAAGCATGAGGTTCAAGGTTACTTTAGTAATACCTTTAGGCAGATTTGTTTTGGGGTTGTTTAAAAAGCTGCAGAATACCTGTCCTCGAGTAGCTGAGTTTAATTGCTCTTTTCAGAGGGTCAAAACTTAACCTCCTTGTGGAGGTTAAAAATTCATCATTTAATGATGCTAAAGTGGCTGTCCACTCTACCTGCATGGCCTTCAGCAGAGGTTCCATAACCTTCCATCTTCTGACCCACCAGACACTGCAGATTTTATTTAATTCAGCATTTACATGCAAACAGGCAAAAAGTGTTTATTGAAAGGGAAACACGATAGAATCTACGAGGTTTGTGCCCTTTTTTCAAATACAAAAAGTCCGTATAACATTAAACACTGGAAAAACGATCTAGAAATAAGTTAACATTTTGTTAAATTAAGTGTACTTACCCTTAATTTGAGCAGATAAATGAGATGTTTGCCAATGGAATTAGTATTTTTACTCTTAAAATAAGACAATTAGATAATGTGCACTTAAAATAAGACAATGCAATTTATTTTAAGTGTAAATTGTCTTGTTTCATTGACAAAGTTTCTCACTAACCTCCTCAATTCAAGAAGAAATGCACTTATTTTAAGAAAAAATGACTTATCTAGATTTAGATTTTTTCCAGTGAAGAGCTTTTGTATCAGCCTATGGGGAGTAAAGAAGTGGAACAACTTGGATCGAGAACTAACCATGCAACGATTTAAAAAGAGATGTAAAGAAATAATTTTTACAAAATATGTAAACAACAATAAAAAAATAAGACTGACAAGCAGATGTTTTTCAATGCAGCTTTTAAAGGAATCTGTTTTTTTTTAAGAGTGTTATAAAGGAGAGTTTAAAAAAAGTCATTTACTTCTGCCCACTCCTAACCAGATCTGTATGTTTTATTGATTTTTTGCATGGACATAATGGATGTATTTATCTTTGTCCAAACTTCTGAATAATTAACTGAACTTAAAGGCATACCATGTAACTTTTGGCCACTAGGGGTGTTAGATCTGTAACTACCTGTTTTTTTCCTTCTACTAAACATCAAAAATAATAAAGATATATGACTGTATACTAGGGGCAAAGTGTTAACTTACCAGTCTAATAATAAAGTTGAAAGAAGAGAATCGGTTTTACATCCGGCTTCTTCTTTCAGCCTGAACTAATTATCAAACTCTTTTCCAAGATCGACTCTTGTTTTTCCTCGAACTTGATCCCTTTCACGTTTTCTCCTTTTAGCTTCCTAAGATGGTTTAGACATTTTTCTTGCCTCAGCCATTACTAGTAGTCATCCAGGTGGAAAAATAAAAGAGCAAAAGCCTTAGCTCCAAAAGCGATACGTCCTTCGAGGTCACATGACCTGGCCAAAAACAGTGTGTTTTCTCCCTACTTACATGGTTGGTGTTGCAAGAGGGGAGCACCGCTCGTAGCATTGATAGCATAAAGCTCTATATTGGCCTGAGGAATAATTTTTAACAACTCATATTCGTCAACTCTTTAGGTCACAAAGCCTTTAACTGAAAAAGAGTAATAATAACACCAGCAGGACCATCAACCCAAACTAAAAAACGTCAATGAACAAAT